GGTAGTCCCTTCTGTTATAGCTAATACACTGACGGAGACAACCCAATTTCCAAATAAGAGGGCGTCAGTTGAGAACACATCAAGTGTTTTGGAGGCTGCTGTGGTTGGTGGAGGGACTGAGGGAACTCAAGCACTAACCATCAGGGAGAAAACGCAGATCCCTCCCCTCCCACCTGTGTATGTTTCTCCGAGGAAGGAGAATAAAAGAACAAAGACAGTAAAGGATGACCAGGAGCCGGACAGCTCGGATTCAGTTATGAACCAAGGAAATGATGACACGACACAACCCAAGAACAGATCGGCGACCTCCGGGAGGGAGGATCACCGGGAGCAATGAAAACCCTAGCATGGAATTGTCGTGGTTTGCTTTCGACCACAGCAGTTCGTGAACTCTGGGATACCCAAGAGCGTTTGAAAGCCGATGTGATTTTTCTGTCAGAGTCACATTTGAATAATGAAAAGGTGGAGTCGGTGAGAGTTAAGCTAGGTTTTAAGCGGCTTCACCTTGTGCCTAGTGATGGACGGGCAGGTGGTCTTGTACCTTTCTATAATTTAATAAATGAAGTGGTTTTGAATTACTCTTCGGACAATTTTATAGATGGTATTGTGATGGATGGGAATGCACCATCTTGGCGGCTGACGGGGTTTTATGGAGAGCCTTGTTGGGAGAGGAAACACCTCTCTTGGAGTTATTTGAGGAATATACATGCAAACAATACTGGACCGTGGATGATTATTGGTGATTTCAATGAGATCTCAAACATGAGTGAGAAAGAAGGAGGGAATGCTAGGCCTGAACAATATATGAGAGAATTCAGAGATTGTATTGAAGACTGTGGACTGCATGAGGTCATGTTCATAGGTGATGAGTTCACTTGGAGACGAGGGGATATTCGAGAGAGGCTGGATAAAGCCCTTTGCAATGACTTGTGGGCAGAGAAATTCCCCCATGCAGCTGTAGTGCATGAGCAACACGTTCATTCAGATCATAGGCCTGTTCTGCTGGACACAGATTATTATAAATCGGGGATGGAACAACAGCGACGGAACCATAAACGTATGTTTGAAGCTCGGTGGTTAAATGAAGAGACCGTGAATGAGATTATTAACTCTACATGGGAACGAGCTAAACTAGCCGGGTTGGGACCTTCTCTCGCGGTCAGGACTCGGTCTGTATTGAAGGATCTGCATGAGTGGGATCAAGAGATACTAAAAAGCCCCAAAAAGATGATACACAAGCTGAGGAAAGACTTAGAGAAGCTTAAGAGAAGGCCGAATACTAGTGAGATTCGGTAGGAAATGAAGGATATTCAAGTTTTGATAGAAAATTTATTAGATCAGGAAGAGCTCATTTGGTTGCAAAGGGGGCGAGCGAACTGGTTGCTGCACGAGGACCGAAATACATCTTATTTCCATAGAGCTGCATCAGCCCGAAAAAAGAAGAACTACATCAAAAAATTGTTAGATGACACAGGGGTTTGGAAGGAGAACGCAGAGGATATCAATGGCATTATCTCAGAGTATTTTTCTTCTTTGTTTACTTCGCAAGTGCATCTGCCGGATCAGGATGTGTTATCCAAGGTACAACAACGTGTTACACAGGGTATGAATGACCTGCTGATGGCACCATATACTGCAGAGGAAGTTAGGAAAGCTATGTTCTCAATTGGTGATTTCAAGGCCCCAGGGCGGGATGGGCTGCATGCAGTATTCTATAAGCGGTTTTGGCCAATGTTAGGAGATGATCTGGTGATGGAAGTACTAACTGCAGTGAATACACAAGTAATGCCTCAGGGGTGGAATGACACTACCATTGTTATGATCCCAAAGGTAAATGCACCGGAGAAAATTACACAATTCAGGCCCATTAGCTTATGTAATGTTGTGTATAAAACTATCTCCAAGATGATTGCAACAAGATTGAAAGGTTTATTGCCTGAATCATTAGCCCCACGCAGAGTGCTTTCGTCCCTGGGAGGTTGATTACTGATAATGTACTGATAGCATATGAGAGTCTCCACGCAATCAAACAAAAAAGGAAAGGCAAGGAGGGGTGGTGTGCAGTTAAATTGGATATGCACAAGGCTTATGACAGAGTTGAGTGGGTCTTTTTGGAAGCCATTTTGCTAAAACTAGGGTTTAGGGCCGAATGGGTTAAAATGATCATGGTTTGTGTCTCTATGGTGGAGTATAGAGTAAGATACAATTTAGTGGAAACGGAGATAATCAAACCCTCGAGGGGGTTGCGGTAGGGTGATCCATTGTCGCCTTATTTATTCCTCCACTGTACAGAAGGACTAACAACCCTACTTAACCATGCAGAGCAGACGGGCGATTTGGTGGGGCTGAAAGTTTGTAGAAATGCACCAGCGGTCACAAACTTGCTATTTGCAGACGATTCTTTAATTCTGCTGAGAGCAAATGAGCAAAACGCAATATCATTGAAAGCTGTTCTGGATTCGTATTGTGGGGCGTCAGGTCAGCTTGTGAGCGTGGACCAATCCAGCATTTTCTTTAGTCCAAGCACAGATGTAGGTGTTAAGGCCTTGGTGTGCTCAACACCGAATATCATGACAGAAGCCATAAACGATAAGTATCTGGGTTTGCCAGCTACGTTGGGGCTGGACAAGACTGATAGTTTTCAATACTTGGTGGATCGGTTGATCTTGAAACTGACTGGATCGAAGGAGAAAAGCCTGTCTTCTAGAGGTAAAGAGGTGCTTATTAAGTCTGTAGCACAAGCCATACCAGCCTATGCGATGTCGGTCTTCAAAATTCCTAAGAAAATTTGCAAAGGAATTACAGATGCGATAGCTAGATTCTGGTGGGGTGATGATGCATCACACAAGAGAATGCACTGGTTTGCTTGGTGGAAGATGTGTATACCAAAAAAGAAAGGTGGAATGGGCTTTAGGGATATTCAGTGCTTTAATCTTGCACTCTTGGCAAAACAAGCATGGAGACTCATTGAGAACCCGGATTCTCTATGTGCAAAGATCCTCAAAGCAAAGTACTACCCTAATGATGATTTGCTGAGTGTTACTCTAAAAAAGAAATCTTCGTATACTTGGCAAAGCATAATGGTAGGAGTGGATACCCTGAAGTGCGGTCATATATGGAGGGTGGGTGATGGACGACAAATAAGATTTGGGAGGACAGTTGGATACCTCAATCACCTAACAGGAAGGTTATCTCATTGAGAGGGAACCATATCCTAACCCGAGTGGAAGAACTAATTGATCCAGGGACAGGGGATTGGGATGCGCCGCTAGTGAACCAAACATTCTGCAGTGTTGATGCCCAAAGAATTCTCTCAATCCCGCTACCAGTTTATGAGATGACAGACTTTGTGGCTTGGAGCTACACAAAGACGGGTGTTTTTTCAGTGAGGTCTGCCTATCATGCAGTCTGGGAGACTAAGTTTGGGCAACGGTCACAACATGTGGGCACTTCGTCCACAATTACACCCACTTGGGATTCTATCTGGTCTCTGAACTGTCCAGGTAAAGTCAAAATTTTCACTTGGAGAGCGCTTAACAGCTCAATACCTTGCCGAGCAAACCTGTCTGATAGGCACATTAAAATCTCATCACAATGCCCAGTATGTCATGATGGTCCTGAAACACTTCAACACCTCCTGTTCGCGTGCCCGGTGGCAGTGGAGGTTTGGAAATTGCTTGGTTTGATTGATGTGATAAAGCAAGGTCTGCTCATGGATAAATCTGGAGAGAGGGTGTTGGAGTTTCTTCTGAATCTTCCTGAGAACTATATCCATATCCTCGGACTGACGAAACTGAAGGAGACAATTGCTACTTGCTGCTGGTACTTGTGGTGGGAAAGGAGGAAGCATACGCATGGGGGAATACCGCAAAATGCATCCCAGGTTAGCCTAGCAGTTCGAGCGTTGGTGGCCAACTTTATTTCTGCTAATTCACCCAAGGCACGGGCACGTCTTGATAGTTGGGTCAGACCGAGACGTGACTACGTCAAGCTTAATGTGGATGCGGGGTTTGATGCGGACACACTTGAAGGCTCTGTGGGAGCTGTCATTCAAGATCATAATGGCAAGTTCATTGCGGCTGCAAATGAAAAACTGAATATCTGCTATGATGCTTTCACGGCAGAAGCCATTGCGATAAGATTTGGTTTGAACTTGGCACGTATAGCAGGCTGCAACAAAATTGAAATTAATTCGGATAACTTGGAGGTAATAGCTGCATTGAAGGAGGGCTATTCATCTTCAATAGCCAGTGCCATCTTTGATGACTGTTTTTTTATGTCTCTTGATTTCACTCATATCTTGCCGGTTGCAACAATTTTGATGATGTAGAAGCACCTGTGTGCGAAAAATAACAATTTAATGTCTTGTAGTGAGGTTTGCCTATACAAGATGTATAGAACACAGCTAATTCCTTGCCTGAAAAAACAGAGTACTACTAATTCCTAATGCAAATCATATCTTCAAACAAATTCCCCTTCACTTTTGCAAAAGATAAAATGAAAAAAAAATCTTTCTTCCAGTGTTTCCCTTCTAACTGAATTACCAAGTTATGCACCTGAGATTTCCGGTTAAGGAATACGATGCATGTTGTTGGCAGTCAACAGAGCAACACGAAGGCTGCACTGGAACACGGAGCAATGTAGTAAGGCTGTGTTCGGCAATCCTCCACTCCTTCACTACAGAGCGAGCGTGCGGAGCATCCTTTTAGCCGCTCCGCTCCGCAGCGGAGTTGCAGAGCGGAGGGACTCCGAACAGCCTCTAAATAGTCGATCCGAGCTCAGAACATTACCAAGTCAGAAGCAGAATGTTGATCTTGTTTTCCACTACTGTAGAACATTTGGAAACATGGAAGCGCCCAGCTCTAAAACAACACAGTAGAGGTAGAACAGGGCACATCACCCTGTTCGGGCAGGGAACTTAAAAACCAGTACAGAGGCATATAGCCGAACACCTTGCGTGCACGCACCACCGCGCCGCGGGCTGCTGCCACGGTCTTCCCTCACTCGGGACCGCGCTCGCCGCAGATCTCCTTGAGCCGCCCTGCCGCCTCCGCGGCGTCGATGGAGTACTGCAAGCCACGCGTTGCACAGCCAGGAACAGTGAGATAGGTAGCAGGAATAGGTCGATCCATTGGCATTCCATTCCCATGAGCCGCGAATGGAATGGATGGCGCGATGAACACGCGGAGAGTGAGAACGAGCACCGCATTCGGTTGACGTGACGTTACCTTGGAGAGGACCCAGGAGGAGTGGGCATGGGCGCGGCGGAGGAGGCCGGCGAGGTCGTCGTCGGCGGATAGGTGGCGGTAGTTGACGAAATTCTCGCGGGCGTACTTCGCGTAGTAGGGCCGCGCGTCGGCAGGCAGCCGCCGCACCAGCCGCAGCACCTCCCGGTAGGCGCGCAGCCCGGCGTTCGCCATCGCCTCCGATCGAATCCAGGCCTGGTAGATCAAGGCGCACAAGCACTAGGAAGTAGTACTACACGCTTGTACGGTACTGTAGTAGTCTGCTAAACTCACGGTGGAAGGAAAAACTCCAATTAACTACTCCCTCCGCCCCGTAATACAAGAGCCTCTTAGGCCTCCTTTAGTTTGAAGGAATTTCATAAGAATTCTAGAGGATAAAATTCTTATAGGATTTTTTCCTTTAGAGCCCTTTGGTTCATAGGAATGGATTTCTATTCCTATATAAGATTGATTCCTATCCTTCACATTTCATAGGAAAATAAAAATGAGCCTAGATTCAATGAAAAAATTCTTTTGGTGTCAACCAAATGACATCTTGTTTTCTATTTTTACTCATGAGATTTGAGATACATGTCATCTCATTTCCTATAAAATTCATATTCCTACGATAATCCTATCCTATGAATCAAAAGAGGCCTTAGTCACTATTTTTTTTCTCAAAAAGGATCTGAAAATTTCACAAAAGGTATAAAGCACTTCAAACATAATAAAAATAATACTGAGGTCTGTAGACCATCTAACAACCACCGTCGCCGCCAAAACGAGCCATTGATGTGCCACTGTCGCCACTCCTCTACCAGAGCCGGTTTGACCTTGTCACTGGTAGCCGGAAAGTCTTCATGCATATGCCCCTAAGCACCAACACACGGGAGCCGCAATCGTCGATGTTAAACCCTTTTAATAGATCTGAAATATCTGACATCAAATCTTGCCATCGTGCATGCACGACGAAAAACCATATAACCTCGCCGACAGAAGGAGATGACAAAAATCTATGTTGGAGCTGTGTAATTACAACTAGATAGACGAATTCGGGGAGGATCGAAGAACGAAGGCAAACTCAAAGAAGAAGTGTCGTTATCCGCCCGAGAACCACACATGCAAGGATTTAAAAAACCCTAACCCAAACTACTAGCCGGAGTGGAGGCACCGGGATCACCCCTGCCACCGGCTGCTGAAGCGGGAGATAGAGAGGAGGTGAATCCATGGGCTCTCTGACGAAGCTTGGAAGGAACGAGTTTCCCCTAGCCGTCGTGATGAAGGGAATGCAACACTTGCATTAACATAGTGACCAGGCGTCCAATGGTGCTAGATCGCAACATTACAAACCCCTCCCCCCCCTCCCCCAAAAAAACAAAAAGGTTACATCGTAGTCTCTAGGTTGATCAACTTCACCTGCCTGAACAGATCGATGACGCGCTGCCGCATGCCACTTCATCATTGGAGCCAACTAGTTGTTGTTGATCACATATCTTAAAGTCATCAATGCCACGGTTCTACTGAGCCATCGCCTTAGAGAAGAAACCATCACCGCTTGAATATATGGCCACGGATCCAAAGAGACGAACCTTCATTATTTCTCATAGGTATAAAAAAACATTAGAGGCCATCAATGTGAAGGAGACAAGTTTGAATGACCAAAAGGCAAAGGAAAGCTACCGATGATGCCGTGCCAACAAACCCCGCAAGCAATAATCTCACCGGCTAAAACGAACGACGACAAAATACGCCGACGAGTCATCGACATTGCAGAAAACGACACCATCAAGATGGAGAGACTCAAGGGGACCTTATTCATCGGACTGGCCTACCGCCACCACCAATGACGCATCATCAAAGAAAACTTCATTGAGCACCGCTGGTATCACCTCCAGAAAGCTAAAGCTATGTTCAACAAAAACCTACCAAACCAAATCTCGAAAGCTACAACTCCACCCGGTCGATGATCGTCTCCTCGTACTCCCACATTGGCAGAACCAGCTGATAAGGAGGGTCGGTGACCTATCTAAGGAGAAGTGGCAGCGCGGTGCGCTCAGAGGTCGCATTTCAAGGGTTTGGAGAGTAACAATTTGGGAGTAGAGGCATCATTGCCATTAATTTGACGTTACAAAGCTTATCTGAAGCACTATGCTAGAAAACTCAAGTATTCATCATTGAAGCAACTCTACCATATTCCCTCAAAATTCCAGCCTTTAAAATGAATGCCTTTTTAATTTTTAGAAGTTTCACCTTTATGGATAGGATTCAAATCTATTATAAAAGTTTACCGGAATTACAAAGTACCTCAAACATAATAAAAATTACATTGGGGGTCCCTGGACCAACAAACAACCACTACCACCGACAGAACGAGCCACCAATGCACTGTTGTCACCCCCACAACAAGTCGGTCTGACCTTGTCGATGAAAGCCGAGAAGTTTTCGTGTGTGTGCCCCTAAGGACCAGTGCCACAGAGCCACAATTGTTGCTATTGAACTCTTGAATCAATCTGAAGAACCTAACACTAAATCTCGTCGCCGCGTACACACGACGAGAAATCCTAACCTCGGTGCCCCAAGGAACTATCGGTAATCTATGTCGGGCTTCGTCTAATTCATATAATTTGTCCCTCTGCCACCGAACTTGAGGAGGATCGAAGCCAGAAAGACTGGCACAAAGAATAAGCGTTGCCCCAATGAGGACTAAAACCCCAACCTATCTACTAGCCGGAGATTAGGCACCAGGACCCCCCTCTCCGCCACTGGGCACTAGTGCCAGGCAGCGGGGCGCATCCACTGGCTCGCCGATGGTGATCATGGGGAGTGACGGTTTGCAAAAATGACAGTACCCTCGATAGGGTGGCGAACGCATCCATAAGTACTAGAGAGGAGTTCGAAACCCCGTGACGAGGTAATACCCTACATCATGCTTTGTGATTTGTATTCATGGTGCTTAAAGAGTACTTTCGCCTTCAGTAAATCGCCATTAGAAAAGTATTTAACTCTCAATATAGTGGCACACAAAGAGTCTGGATTCTCGAGGAGACGCCAAACCCGTTTGCCAGCATCGCCACATTGAAATAGTGAATACCACGAAAGCCCATCCCTCCTTGATTCATTGGACATTCATTTTCCACCAAGCTACCCAATCTATCCTCCTTTGGTTGTCCTCGCTCCCACCACCACCACAAAAAATGGGACATTGCATCAATAATTCCTTTGCAAATCATTTTTATAAATTTTAAAAACCCACATAGCATAGGTGGAGATAGCTTGAACAATATACTTAAGAAGAATTTCCTTCCCTCCAACAAATGATATTTTTTCCTTCCTACCGTTGATTTTCATAATAATACGATCAATCAAATACTGGAAAACAATCAGTTTTATCCAACCCAACATTAAGTATCTGCCACCAAGGGCCAGGGTCAAGATATTCAGAGTGGTACATATTTGTTCTCTAACCTCGACGCTTGTATTGGATTGAAAAAGATATTAAGGCTCTGTTTGGAAGCAATGTCTTATTCAAACCTCAGTATTTTGACACTACTGTTTTTTATACCAATGATAATGAACGCGGTAGTTTATGAAACCAACAATCTTTTAAAGTATTGTGGAAATAGTGTATGTTTGGCAATCAAAAGTATACAGTGTTGCAGTAGGCCAACACTACACAAGGCCTTTGTTGCATTTCTCAGTTTTTAGAAAAAAAGGTCCCAACCTCTTTATTTAGTACTGCAAAAGAACTAGGCTGCGTTTGGTAGCTCAGTATTTCTGAAGTTCTACAAGAATACCGTGGTTTTGAAAAAAACACGGTTTTAAATACTTTGACGTGTTTGGCATCAATTAATACTCTAGTTTTATAAACCGTAGTATATCTGATAATGTGGTTTTTTTGTGGTATTTGAAAAAGAGGTCCAGACCTTTTTTTTTTTTTGTAAACAACGCTTGCTCAACTTCTTCTTCCAACCATTATCATCCGCCATTGTCCTGTCTTTTCTGCAGCCAGCATGGGAAGAAAAGTATGTGCTCTTCTACGTTGACTACTCTTTCACTCGTACGTCCGACCTCCACTTACTCCGCCGTTGATCTCTTTAATACGTTCAGCAGCATGTAGATTAGATTGGCAATTAGATCGATTGACCCTTACTTCCTGAGATGCATAGTAAGCTAGCTAGAATTTGGATCATATCCGGCCAGAGGCACATGTACAACACTACAACCACAGCCGGGAACACGTGCATGCCGATGCTTACAACGTCAAGTAGATCGATTGATCAATGGAGCAGTCGTAGACCAATCGATTCTTTGTGGCCAGAGATATAAGAGATGAGTAGATAACTCTATCTATAAATCCTAGCATCCACGAGGGACTAGTGCGTGTATTGCAAGACTACATGCATGCGTCTTCCTTAGCACAAGCTTGATCAGGTCATTGTAACTCCTTGAGTGTAGAGTTTGGTTCAGCCGCCAAACCAAAAAGTAAGAAAAGGTGTGCTTGCCAAACACCCCAAAAGTGTTGCTAAAGCTGAGAAAAAATGTGGTTTCTAAAAACTGAAGTATTCATTGCCCATGCATTCGAATACTGAGGTTTTCATTTACTATGGTTTTGAAAACATGATGCTGCAATGAACAATCAATTTTGTGCCCCCCCCCCACGGCTCCCGCGTCGTCCCCCTTGGGCGACTCGGGGGCGACTAGGGTTTCCCCCGGCGCCGCCACCCCCTCCAGCCCCCCTCCCCTTGCCGCCGCCAGAGGTACGCCAGCCTAGGAGGCTGCCGATGAAGGTGGCGGCGAGGCTCCCCGCCGCTTCGTCCCTTGGCAAAGGACCCTGGACGCCGGGGCGGCGGCCCCGGACGGCGAGGCGGCGCCACCTTCGCGGCAGGTGGCGGGCGCGGGATGCGGCGAACGGCCTCCTCGGCTACTTGGGCAGCGAGGAGCCGGCAGGAGGTGGTCGTGATGTGGGCTTCTTCCACTCCAGATCTGAAGGTCGTGCTTCTCTCCTCCTCTACTCCACTCCCCCCTCTGGCGGTGTCTGTGGCTTTGGCTATCAGATCCGGTGCTGGCGGGGTGATAGTGGTATAGGACTGCGTCTGGGGTAATCCCTTGGCCGGTGCTCCGGCCACGGCGGCGACGGCGCGTGCGCGCGTGGTTTTCCTCCCTGGAGGCGCCGCCGAGGACCTGTTTCTTTCCAC